AACATTATTGTTTTTACTACATTTCAATCTGTTGGTAACGTTTTTAATGTTAATATTATTGTTTTTACTACACTTCAATCTGTTGGTAACGTTTTTAATGTTAATATTGTTTTTCCTACATTTCAATCTGTTTGTAACGTTTTTAATGTTAACATTATTGTTTTTACTACACTTCAATCTGTTCGTAACGTTTTTAATGTTAATATTATTGTTTTTACTACACTTCAATCTGTTGGTAACGTTTTTAATGTTAATATTATTGTTTTTACTACACTTCAATCTGTTGGTAACGTTTTTCATGTTAAATTTATTGTTTGGTTTGTGTAATTAATTAAAGGTATCTTGCTTTTCGATTTTCTTTTTCAGCATATTTGAGATATGCCGCATGTTTCAAAAACGTTTCATTGAATGAACAGAAATGTGCCGATAAATACCGAACACTAGCCGAACTATTCCGTAAAGAAAACGAAGGAGACGACGACGTAAACAAAGGTCTTCGAAAATGGTGTTGGTAGGAGTCTATAATTACCAATATGTAGTGTTTCTACTACTCTAATCAGTGGTGTAAGAAGGAGTTAAAAAGTGGGGGTATTAGGCTAGACATGGCTAATATAACGCACAATTCCTATATACGTAAAACATGTAAAAGTGGCGGTCCTGTAGCACTCCTGGTTTCGATGCCTTTTATAATGTACTTGTTTTTATTTACTTCTAACCCTAGATTCTGTTACATGTGTCCCATGGTTTAAACACGTGACCTTACATTCCATTAGTTATGTTTAACTTATTTTTCACATAACTTTAGACTGTTTTTTACATTTATTTATCTTCTAACAGCTCCTACAGTAGCTTCGTCCACTGCCAGAACAACCACGTGGCCCAGTACTGTGGGAAGCAGGCTGGAATATTTCTTCGAAGCTACATGGATCGAATGACTGGTCCGTTGATTCACGAACACTGCCCCCTCTATACGTACGGTTTGGAAGCTTGTACCACCAATATCGCTGCACGTAATGTGATATGGAACGTTTTTATCTGTTTCATCTCTTTCTCGTACATTACAATGTACCAAGTTTCAACAGTAAATCTAAGTTAATCACCGAAAGACGTAGTTAAAAATAAAACCTAACAGTTTCTCAACTAGTGTTAGTGAACGTGACGAATTAATTACATTCACTCACAATGGTCGTAGTAATATTACATCAGGGGTTCTCAACGCCACAATATAATACAGTAATATAACGTTTAAATGTAAATTTTAAAGACTGCAAACATGTAGTTAGCAATGGATGTCTTTTAGATCTATTTCTACGACTCTTTATTGAAACTAGAAACTCTAATAAGTTAGAGAACCAATTTAGCCAGATTTCAGCAACAACCTGTTGACGCAGTCAGTTGTATACAAGATGATTATCATTGTAGTACACGAGAAAAGGCTTAATATCATACGTCATACACGTGTGGACTATGAAATCAGTAACTCCACTTATTTTATTTCGTTTTCCTTCCGCTAAATGGAACCAGTATTTCATTTTATTAACTGTAACCTGAAGGCGTATATTTCAGAAGAAGAACTGACATACATGAAAACACAAGTGTCAAGAAAGACGTTTAAAAATATTGGAGTATCATTAACATCGAACGGAATGAGTAGAAACTAAATAGACAAAATCAACAAGTTTTTGGGACTGTTTGAAACGTTAAAAAACCCAAAACAAAATATTTGTGTTAAATCTAATGACAGCTAGTTTTCTAGAAGAAAAAAAAAGGGGGGGAAGGGAACTTAAAACTTTCTGGCTCATGTTCTGGATAGTCAGATTTTGTCGTGGCTGTAAAATTTTCAAATGAAAAATAAAAACTTTGTTTTGTTATCTTTTGGATATGTTATTTTTTTTCCAACAATAATCCAGAATCACAAAAAAAACCTCTGGCACATACTATCGAAAACAATTAGTATAGAAGCGAGTGTCCAAGAATAATTGGTAACGTCGTGGTGTGGAAAGAAATTTGTGTAAATACATTCACAGAGCCATCTATTGACGAGTAGATAAATTACTTGAGTTGTTTCTACCAGCATTTTATAATCAGCTGTGATGGATAATAAATGTAATATTTCAATCTTTAGTAATGTACGATTAAAATAAGCTTTTCCCATCTATCGAAATTCGAATTTAGTGTATTTGTGTTTACGGGAAGATATCCACGCTATCCGTCCCTAATGTTCAACTGATAGACGAGAGGGAAGGCAGCTAGTCAATACTACCCACCGCCAACTCAGTGAGATTTGACAGTTACTCTCATAATACTCCCACAGCCTCAGAGTGCTGAGCGCCATTTTGTGGCAAGAGACACTCATCATGTACCCTTATTTGATTATGCTATTTACAGTCGGCTAATAAACGTTAAAATCCCCCAGAAAGTTGTCTGAATTATGTGTTTCCTTACTGTCTTTTAAGTAATAAATTTTCATCTAAGTAATTTCGTTTAATAGTCGCGTCAGTCAATTCACAAACTGTCTCTTTTTTTTATAGGCAGGCTACATTTAGTCGTCTTAGACATACTTCACTTCATTTCGTCTCGAGATCTGCACGTTCAACTCTCGCGATTTTGAAAGCACATCGTAGTGAAACAGACATAACTTCGTGAAAAATGAATAAATACAATATATTTATTTCTGAATCTCATCTATAATACATATATAAAAGTAAATAAAGAAGAAAAACACAACAAAAAAAAATAAACTGTAAATGGCTCAGAAAAAAGATCGCAGCAAAATAATGTCTAACAAGTCACTGGACATTATAATAATATATATAATACCGAATGTTGACGCCGGAAAGTTCCCTAAAGATCTCGTTTTGTGAAAACATCTAAATGCTTTTATACCGCCAGATAAGTGTTGTTATTATATTCGTGTTAATATTAAGTTACGTCATCTAATAAGTCATAATAAAAACTGAACATAAACTCGAATTGGCGTACATGAAACAGCAGCGATAAAATATATACTCATATTGAATATCCTATTTCTCTTCTTACTTGTAAAAGTTGGTAATATTGCTTTGGTTCTTTGTAACGTTTCGCTTCTTGTTTGTAAAATTTGGTAATATTGTTTGGTTCCTTTGTAACGTTTTGCTTCTCGCTTGTAAAATTTGATAATATTGCTTTGGTTCTTTGTAACGTTTCGCTTCTGGCTTGTAAAAATTGGTAATATTGCTTCGGTTCTTTGTAACGTTTCGCTTCTGGCTTGTAAAAATTGGTAATATTGCTTTGGTTCTTTGTAACGTTTCGCTTCTGGCTTGTAAAAATTGGTAATATTGCTTAGGTTCTTTGTAACGTTTTGCTTCTCGCTTGTAAAATTTGGTAATATTCGTTTGGCTCTTTGTACGTTTCGCTTCTTGCTTGTAAACTTAGGTAATATTGCTTTGGTTCTTTGTAACGTTTCGCTTCTTGCTTGTAAAATTTGGTAATATTGCTTTGGTTCTTTGTAAC